TACCAGGGATCAAACTCAGGACCTTGCACTTGCCAGGCAGCACAAAGCCATCTCCCGGGCAAATTATTTCTTAATCATAATAAAAATTAAGGCCTTTGAGGTTGAAGTGCAGCTTCCCTCTTTGATCCTGAGGGCTGTCTTCAGGGTTAGTTCAAAATTACTGAGCATGACTCAGGGGACAGTGCAGTCTTCCCCTTGGTGTCCCCTGGGGGAGGATTTAGGGGTGCATCCCACCTGAAGGCACTGACCAGGAACTTGTAACTCACCCCTGGCAGGAGCAGCTGCAATAGCCGCAGCTCTCCGGGAATGTACTGTGCATGGGAACTTTCAAACTGCAAAAGACATCAATGTCAAAGACAGATCAAGGTTTACTGATCAGAAAACCTAGGATGGCTCAGGGCTTAGCTCCCCTTGCCTGGCACACGTGAGAAAAAACAGTAGATGTGAGAGTCCGGGCGGGCAAGGAAGGAAAGTGAACCGCTCTGGCTCTAGAAGTGTTACCTAGAACATAACTGCTCTGGTGCCCAGTGTGAGCCCTGGGCAGTGCCTAGGACTGTGCCCTGGATGGCTGAGACAGCTGGGCTTTCACTGAAATCCAGAGGAACAAGGGCACCCAAGTGGCTTCTTAGGCCACACATGCGACTGCAGATATTTATTTATTTATTTATTTATTTTTTGTGTGTGTGCGGAACTGGGGATTGAACTCAGGTCCTTGAGCTTGCCAGGGAAGCACTTATTCCACTGAGCCATCTCCCCAGCCCTTCAACTGCAGATATTTAAAAGTTAAAGATGTTCAGGCCAGGGAGATGGCTCAGTAGAATAAGCACTTGCCTGGGAAGTACAAGGACCTGAGTTCAATCCTTGGTTCGATGTCACAAAACGGAAATGCACTTGTTCAAGCCCAGAAAGTGTTTAAACCAGGATTCACACTCCCCCGCCCCCCCATCCGGGGAGGATTCACTCTTGACAGTGATGAGATGAAGAAATGGCACCCTGGGAAGCCAAGGACCTGGCAGGATGAATGTGACCCCAGATATGCTCCCAGTATCTCCTGCCCCTACTTCCTCAGTGCCCTATTCCTGCCCAGCCCCCCCCCCCCTTGTTACCTTCCTGCCAGCTGGTTCTGTCTGTCCTCCCACTCTGCAGGCCTAGCCTCAGGTCCTAGAGTGAGTCAATCACAAAACAACCTCAGAGCTGCCTCGGTCTAAAATCTGCATTTCAAGATAGAGGAGATAGCCAGATTTCAGCATAGTGTTTTGTGTTTTGTTTGTCTGTTTCTTTTTTGAGGTTTGGTTTGGGATGGGGGGGTAGTTCTTTTCTGTAATACATTACCCATCTTGGGTAACTGGAACAGACAGCTGTTGCATCTTGCTCCTTTTTACTTCCCTTCCCCTCCTGACCTTGCGACTCCCCAACTCCGGATCCCCTTGAGGGCTCGCAGGGTTAGTAGGCAAAGCAGGGCTGCTGCTCTCAGGCGAGATCCTGCTTGCCTCTGGCGGAGTGGCATTGCCTGCCCTGCCCTGCTCTGCCCCTCAATTCTTCTCCAGCTGCTCCTGGAGCATCAGGGACTACAGGACATGCACAACCCAACTATACTGAAGTACACAGGTGTCCTTGTGTTATTCCTGTGAACGCATCAGGGCAGGGAGGGCTGGGACTATGTTCAGTGCCAGAGTGCTTGCCTTGCGTGCGGGCCAGGTGGGATCCCTAGCGCTGCAGGAGACAGTAACAGGGCGTAGTGGCCCATTCCTGTAACCTCAGCACAGGATGCTGAGGCCAGAAGAGCAGATTTGCTTGCTTTCCAGATTAATGAGATCAGTGTAACTGTCCCCACCCCTGTTCCTAGTGGCTGCTGCTAATGGACTCCTCTTATTTTTCTCTTTCTACTTAAATAGCCATATTCTGGGGCCGGAAAGATGGCTCAGTAGAATAAGCACTTCCCTGGCAAGCACAAGGGTCTGAGTTCAATCCCCGGTTCTGAAAAAAAAAAAGCCATATTCCATTTTGTCTCTAAATTTCTTATTCTGAACTGCACTTCAAAATACTTTTAGCACATGCCTGTAAACCCAGCACTCGGGAACCTGAGGCCAGAGGATCTCTTCGACTTTGAGGACAGTCTGGGCTACAAAGTAAGTTCAAGGTTAGGCTGAATTGTATATTGAGACCCTGTCTCAAAAAACAAAATACTGGGCCAGGGAGATGGCTTAGTAGAATAAGAGTTTCCCTGGCAAGTGCAAGGGCCTGAGTTCAATCCCTGGTTCTGGAAAAAAAAAAAAAAAAAAAAATACTTTTATACTTAGTTGGGGTATAATTTTTGAAGTATGAAGCCCTCCCAAATAATATGGCATTTCACCACTCTCCTTTGCATTATACAAGCTGGAGATTGGAGGGTGTTTTGCCTATTATATTCTCTTTAGCTATTGCAAAAACACAGTACACATTTGTTTCAAAACAGAATTCTGAGCTGGGGAGATAGCTCAGCAGTCTAAGCGCTTGCCTGACAAGAACAAGGACCTGGCTTCAATCCCAGGTACTGCATGCTGTGCCGGCCCTAGAATCCCAGATGTGCCATACCAGCCACCAAAACTGGGTGTGGTGGCACACACCTATAACCCCAGCGTTGGGGAGGCTGAGACAGGAAGAACACTTCAAGTTCAAACTGCATAGAGACCCTGTACCAAATAAATGACAGGGAACATACCTATAATCCAGCTAATTGGGAAGCTGAGGCAGAAGGATCAAAAGTTGAGGGCTAGGGGCCGGGGAGATGGCTCAGTAGAACAAGCGCTTCCCTGGCAAGCACAAGGGCCTGAATTCAATCCCCGGTTCTGCAAAAAAAAAAAAAAATTTGCAGGCTAGCCTGTACAATTTAATGAAACTCAGTCTCAAAATTTGAAGAAGGAAAGAAAAATTGAAGCGCTGGACATTTAGTGATAAAGCTCTTGCCTGCTGGAGCACGCATATGGGCCTGTGTTCAGTCCCCAGTATGGCAGATCGCTCCATGGAGCGAGCAAGTCTGCACTTCACAGGTGAGCTGCTGCTGCTACTGCCTCTCCTCCCCCATCCGCTCCCGCCTAGGAGTAACTGCAGGCATTTTCCTTCTGCTGTTGTTCATACATCTGTCGTTCTGTCCCTCTCTGCAGTGTGAAGTGGTCACCAGCGACAGACAGAGAGACCCAGATGTTTATTTCAAACAATGGAGAACAAAGTCGATTCCCCCGGGCCACATCCCGAAGCCCATTGTGATGCCCGACTATGTGGCGTGAGTGTCTGGATTCCTGGGGTAGCAGTTGAGGGTCCTGCTCAGGCCTTTCGTGCTCCTGTCTGTCTGCAGGTGAATGCTTCTGAAATCATCTAGGGGACCTGGTGTTGGTAGTCAGGGTGACAGGTGAACTGAAGGAGCGCGTGGCCCCCAAGGAAGATACCATTTGCTTTACATTTAGCTTGCTCTGGTAAAACTTAGGTTTATGCTTTTCCCTTAGAAAATATCCTGTGATTCAGACAGATGATGAACGAGAGCGCTACAAAGCCGTGTTCCAGGACCAGTTTTCAGAGTACAAGGAGCTGTCTGCAGACGTTCACGCTGTCCTGAGGAAGCTGGAGGAGCTGGATGCCATGATGAGCAGGCTGCCGCATCACCCAGGAAACCTGCAGGTCAGTGTGCACAGCTGCCTCAGGTAGAGGAGCGCTGAGGTATGGAGGGCGGGCAGGCTGACCATGCCGGAAACCCAAAACTATCTGTGTACTGTCTAGGGAAGCATTTGAGACTTTCAGCATAATGACTGGTCAAGATTATCATTCAGGGCTGGTGAGATGGCTCAGTGGTCTAAAGCACCGACTTAGAACAAGCTAAGCTTAAGCAAAGCACAGGGACCACAGTTCAATCCCCCAGCACCACATGCCAGCCAGCCCCGCCCCCTGGTGGGCTGAGCTGGCCACACACACACAAAATAAATAAATAAAATATTTAAAAAAAAAAAAAAAAGATTATCATTCAGCCAACGTGGCGGTGACGCCTGTAACCCTAGTACTCAGGAGGCTGAGGCAGGAGGACTGCCCTGAATTTTGAGGCCAGCCTGAAACTCATAGCAGGACCCTCTCTCTCAAAAAAATTTGTACTGCATGTCAGTGTACACACACATACTCATACCCTATATGAGTTTTCCCAATTCTGCGATGATGGAGTACTGCTAAGTCCTAGTACATACCAGGAAGCAGGAAAAACTCAGCCAATACTGAAGGGTGAGGCTCGGTTAGAACTGTGTGGAAAACAAGCTGGCCAGATAGCCCAGCGCCTCCACCCCCGCCACCATCCCCCGCCCCCGCACAGCAGAGGCAGAAGGATCTCTTGAGCCCCAGAGTTTGAGGCCAGCCTGGGCAACATAGCAAAACCAAGTATCCAGAAGAGAAGTGGAGGAAGAGCAACCAATTCCAGAATACAACTGAGCACAGCTGGGACGGGGCTCAGCCATGGTCTGCTAGCTGGGCCCAGGGCATGAGCATGCGCGCTTGGTGTGGGCTGGGTATGGGGGCCCTGAGCTGCACCCAAGTGAACTTCTACGCTGTGTGGGCTGTGTGGCCTGGAGACCTTGGGAGGCCCACCTCCCTCTTACCAGAGTGCACACTTTTGAGAAGCAGAGTGAGCCCTAACCTCTTAGGAGTGCTTCCATTCAATGTCTGTGCCACCACAGCAGCCGGGTCTTTTTTTTTGGCGGAACCAGGGATTGAACTCAGGCCCTTGCGCTTGCCAGGGAGGTGCTTATTCCACTGAGCCCATCTCCCCGGCCCCCAGCAGCCAGGTCTTTACTAGCCTGGGGCCTGTACCTTCTCTGACTCAACTGCCCGGCTCATCTTCACCTCTAGCAAATGATGAAACCATACACCATGCTCATGGTGGTAGTAGGTAAAAGAGCTCAAAGCATTACCATGAATGGGAAGAGCCAGGTCTGATGGTACATGCCTGTAATCCTAGCTCTTGGGAAGCTAAGGCAGGAGAATCACCATGAGTTTGAAGCCAGCCTGGGCCACATATCAGGACATTGCCACAAAAACCATATGTATATTGGGAAGAGGATGTGGGTAAGTGGTGGAAAATGTTCTTAGAGGAAGTTTGTAGAACTGAAAGTTACATTTTATTCTTTATATCTAACTTTCTAGTGTCTTCCAATCTCTGCAGTTTACATAGGTACAGTAAGGGCATTGCTCTAATAATGTTTCCTTTGAAAGATACAACCATTAACTGTACTGTAAAACTCAAAATTACAAGGAAGTTATATTAGCTATTTTCAAAAGTTAGAGACAGCCTCTTAAACCCAACACGTACTTACTTGAAAGGAACCTTCCAGAGGGAATGATGATGGTAGTAGTGACTGTGGTAGCAGAGCGCACTGGGACACACATGATCCCAACCCTTGGGGAGGACGTGGCCGACGGATCGCAAGTTCCAGCCCAGCCTGGGCAGGTTAGCAAGAGCATGTCTTGGAGCAAAGTGTAGGGAGGGTTTGGGAAGTAGCTCAGTGGAAGGCTCTGAGTGGAAGGTTCCTCGTGTCAAAAACGAAAAGAGAAAAACCTACTGTGGCTATTATACACCGAGCACTTTACTTGTAAGTGAGCCTTCCCACAATGCTTTGAGGCTGTCAAGGTTATGATTCCCATTGTAGTGATCAGGACACTGAGTCTTAGGAAGAAGAGCTTGCCAGGCTCCCACAGCCGGCGGCAAGGGCTCTGGATGAGGCTCTGGCCTCATGTGGCGGAGACCTCGGTCTCTGTCTCCCCTGCATCAGGGCACTGCAGGCAGTGAGCCCTCAAGTACATGGCCAGTAAGTACTCCTTTGTATGTGAATATAGTTTTATAGCATTATAGTTTTAAGTCAAAATTATTTTTCTGGGCCGGGGAGATGGCTCAGTGGAATAAGTGCTTCCCTGGCAAGCGCAAGGACCTGAGTTCAATCCCCGGTTCCGCCCCCCCCCCCAAAAAAATTATTTTTCTAATACCCAGTGTTGAGACGTGATTTGAGTAAATGCAAATGTTTTAATTCCCATGTATACTCTTACTTTTAGGAACATGAGAGAATTTCCAGAATCCATGAAGAGTTTAGGAGGAAGAAGAATGTGAGTAAAACGGTTTTCTTCCTCACAGTGTGTGCTTGCCAGGTATGCGGGAGCCGCAGATCCTCTCAGCTGAGGCACAGTCAGCCTCCTTAGCTTGATCTTGTTCACAAGGCTTCCCTTAGGTACAGGTGTCAGAAAGTATTCCGTAGACAGTTCCAGAAATAAATGGTTCCTAAGTTGTTGTTGATGTTGTTTTTAGACAGGATCTTGTTATGCCGTTTGTGCTGGTCTTGAACTCACTATTTGGCCCACGCTGACCTTGAACTTGGAGCAGTCCCCTGCCTCAGCCTCCCAAGTGCTGGCATGCTCCACCACACATGGCTGAACTCCTAAGTTTTAAATCATGCATCCTAGGGGCCTGCCCCTTAGCTCAGTTGTTTAAGTAGCTGCTTCAAAAAGCAGTCAGGGGCCAGGGAGATGGCTCAGTAGAATAAGCGCTTGCCTGGCAAGCACAAGGGCCTGAGTTCAAACCCTGGTTCTGCCAAAAAAAAAAAAAAAAAGCAGTCAGCCTCAGGTTGCTGTGGTTCAATCCCCACAACTCCAGCCAGCCAAACATGCCCTGAAGGCATTCTGAGCCAGCCAAAAAAAATAATAATAATAATAAATAAATCATGCATCCAAAAGATTAAATAAATAAATAATCATGCATCCTGTGAGTGACCTGACGAGATCTCCACTCCTTGCCTCATCCTGTCCCTGGCATGAATCAGCCCAGGGCCCACAGCCCAGGGCCCCCAGCTGCAGTCGCCAGCAGCTATTTGTCCAGGGAATCAGGCTGATGTCCTGGGAGCCCTGCTCTGCTGAGTGGTGGCCCCAAGCGGACTGCAGATGCTCACCATTTTCCTGCAGTCTTCTTTGTGCTGTTCCTTTATTGCTAGTCCTTAGTGTTATTCCACACTGAGCCTAACCTAGGACTTGAACCTGTGTGTGCTCATAGGAAGCGCCTGCTCCCCAGGCTCAGGCATGCACTGGAGAATGCGTCCTCAGAGAAGGAGGTCTGCTACACTTCTCTCTCCACATTTATTTATTTATTTGTTATTTTTACTGGGAATCGAACTCACTACCTTGTCTCACCAGCCAGGCACCATGTGCTGAGCTGTACTCCCAACCCCCGATGACTGTATTTCTTAAGATGCTGGGTAGAGAGAGAATTGGCGACTGCTAGGTGCCTTTTCCTTGAATCTTTGCCCTCGTACTTACTGCTCTATCATGCCACCGCCCAGGGACATGAGCTCCAACCTGTAACTCCCCCCATTTCCTTCCTAAAGCTTAACTTCCTTTACAACTTCCCACCTTCGTCTCCCACTCAATAAGAGGCTGGAGCCACTTTTTTCATCTTTTCTACATTTTCTGTTTGTTTTACTGGGAATCAAACTGAGGACCTTGAGCTTGCCACGCATACTTTTTTATATACTTTGAACTAAAGCTGCCTCAGCGCTTTGTTTCTTCCCTCTTGATTTTGCTAAAACTACTTGAAAAAAAAAAGTCTATTTTTTTTAAAACACAGGGGCCTGGGGAATAGCTCAGTGGTAGAGCTCATGCCTGGCACGCGTTAGAGCCTGGCTCAGTCTCTAGTGGCAGAAAGCATCGCTGTGTTCAGATGCGGTCAGTGTCTCCATCTGCTGAGGGGAGACTGAGGCATGTGGTCATTTGTAAAGGCAATGATGATGTTTGTCTTTATTGCTGAGGAAACTGGACGCTAAAGTAATAGCTGTGTTGGGAGGCTGGGGAGATAGCTCAGTATAATAAGCACTTGCCTGGCAAGCGCAAGGGCCTGAGTTCAATCCCCAGTTCCGCAAAAATAAATAAATAAATAAATAAATAATAATAGTTGTGTTTCTTTTCTAGGATCCTTCATTTCTGGAAAAAAAAGAACGCTGTGATTACCTCAAGAGTAAACTTTCTCACATAAAGCAAAGAATTCATGACTATGACAAAATAATGAATTGGGATGTACACAGTTATGCATAAACCTTACTTGAAACTACTTTTTTATAGTCAACTCACTATTTATTATTTACTGCCTTTTTTATGCCAGACTGTGTGGTGGAGAAGTGCATTGCCCTGAACCGGCTGCCAGTTGGCTTATCCAGCAGGCGGTGATCACTGTGATGTCACATAAACATTTCAAAACAGACTGGACCTGCTTCACTGAAAATGGGAGAAACCCTGGATTCATCTGTGTACTTTCCTGTTTGTCTGTCTCATAAAAATACATCGCCTGCCGGGTGTGGTGGCCCACGCCTATAATTCCAGCACTGGGAGGCTGAGGTAGGAGGAGCACTGGGAGTCCAGGCCAGCCTGGGTTACATAGTGAGTTCCTGGTCAGCCTGGGCTACCTAGCAAGGCCCTGTCTCAAAAGAAAACAAACAAAAACTGCAGTTGTTGTTATAGAAATTGTATCTTCAGGGCAGGATGAGCAAATGGGCTACCAGTTCTGGTATTGTTTTACTGCCCTTGGGCAGGGTCTTAGAATTTTTCCAAGTCAGATACCTCTTCCCAAGAGAAATCATTCAGGAAAATCATCCCTCCTCTCAAATCTGACATCAACATGGTCAGACTTTGTGGAGGGGCAAGTTGCAGAATCTCTCATTGCCTGTTTCTCTGAAGAAATGCAGGAAGACCACTGCTCCTGGCTGCTAGGTGGCTGTGAGGGCTGAATGTGCTTGTGTTTGCAGAGGACTTCGAACAGAGCCTGCTTGTGTCTGTGAACTCTGTGGAAGTGTCTGGAAGTGGACGAACTCCCTGGAAAAGATCCAAAGTGAGCAAGCTCCGCCAGCTTACTGCGAGGCCCTGTGTGCCCAGTCTCTTTGTGCTGTTAACACTTAACTGCCGATAGCCTTGGCCAGTGCTTCCTATGGCTATCTGGCTTATTGGGCCATCTGGAGCCCAGGTATCTTTTCTGTTTCTTTTTGTGATACTGGGGCTTGAACCTTGAGCCTGTGCACTGAGCTACATTCCTGGTCCCTTATTTATTTTTTGTTTGCAAAAATTTCTCACTATGTGGATAAATTGCCCAGTTTGGACTTGAACTTCCTTTCAGTCCTCCTGCCTCAGCCTCCCAGAGTGCTGGGACTGCGGGTGTGGCCCCCACACCTACCCGCCCCAGCCCATCCTACGCACATGGACAGAAGTATAAGGTGACGGTTGGGTCTTCCCTGTTGGCTGTGATGGTTGCCAGAGACCCCTGATGTTCTCTTTCCTGGGCTTCCTCTTTCCCTGTATTGGGAAGTTCCATCTTGCTAAGAACCATCCTGGCTGTGAGTCTTTATTCATGAGAAATATTTTGGGGTTTTTTGTATAAACAAAGATATTTTTAAAGTTTTTTTTTAAAAAAAACAACAACATGAGGAGCCAGGCTTGGTGGTACACATGTGGTGTCTCAGCACTTGGGAGGCTGAGGCAGGCAGATCATCTCAACTTGGAGACCAGTCTGAACCACATAGTGAGACCTTGTCTAAAAAACAAACAACAACAAAAAATCTTCACATGAGGGACGTGCAAGGCACATGCCTGTAATCCTAGTTATCTGGGATGCTGAGTCATGAGTGCTGAGTCATGAGGATTGCTTTAGCCTGCAGATTATCTAGGCTACAGGAGACAATACAGCAATATGCCATCACAAAATTTTAAAAAGTGTGCAACTTTTTCAGAGCTGGGGTATGCTAACTAGTAGAGCACTTACCTGGCGTATGTGAGTTCCTATGTTGAATCCAAGCACTATGGAAATGTTTTTAAAATGTTTAGTAGATTTGTTGTTGTTAGCGCCTGTTCAGCAGGATGTGTCTCAGTTTTCCAGGCATCGAAGCACAGTTTATGCCTGACAGAGTGGCCGTTCAAACAAACCCTGTTTAGAATTTTCTAAAGTGGGGAGGCCAGAGGAAATTGGTACCTTAGAAAGTGTTGGTCACCAGGTGTGGTGGTACACACCTGTAATCCCAGCACTCAGGAGGCTAAGGCAGGAGGATTGTTGTTCAAACTGGAGACCAGCTTGGGCTACACAGTGAGCTCAAGGCCAGCCTGAGCTGTGTAGTGAGACCCTCTCTCAAAAAGACAAAAAAAAGAAAAAAATTAAAAGGTGAGGTTCAGATTGAAATTAAATATTAGGGCCGGGGAGATGGCTCAGTAGAATAAGTGCTCCCCTGGCAAGCACAAGGGACTGAGTTCAACCCCCAGTTCCACAAAAAAAAAAATGCTAAGGACATTTCAGTTTGTGAAGCTTTATTTTACTACAACTGTAAATGTTAATCTTTGAAAGAACACTAATTTTTTAAAAGTTTTTATGCCAATACTTAGCTGAATTAAAATTGCAGTTAGCTTTGTTTTCTGTGTGGTATTGTTTGCCTCCTAGCATTCCTGTGTTTGAGATCATATCCTTGAAAGTATTCAGAAAGACAGACAGACAGACAGACAGACAGACAGACAGACAGACAGACAGAAATCTTTCTGATCAGAAAATAAACAAACCGGGCATGGTGGTGCACCCTGTAATCCCAGAATTTGGGAGGCTGAGGCAAGAGGATCAAAGTAAACTTAAGCCCAGCCTTCACTATAGTGAGTTCAAGGACAGCCTGAACTACACAGCAAAACCTTATCTCACAGCCTGGAATATAGCTCAGCTTTCCTGGCAAGTGCAAGGTCCTAAGCTCTATCCCCAAGACCCCCCAAAAAAAAGACCCTGTCTCTACGAAACATTTCAAATGTGAACATCATGATGTCCTCAGAACCTAGGGCTTCCTGCTCCCTTGCTGTCTTCCTAGCACAGGCACAGCTGAAAACCTAGAGTTCTGTGTCCTGGTGGTTCTGCGGGGCAGAGCTGGGCAAGACGTGGCCAACATGCTGGCTCCGGTCCTGTCGGGCAGCCTCCTTGGCCTGCAGCCCACGGGCTTGTGGCTGCTGTCACCTTCTGCCTCCAGCCTTGTGCAGCTTCTTCCTGGCCACCGCTCTGCAAGGACCGCGGGCAGATTGGATTCGCAACCCATCCTTGCCTGTATTCCTACTCTGACTGATTGCATTTCCAGTGGTCCCATTTTCCAAAATGGCCCCACTTCCAAATTAGGTCACATTTTGAGGTGCTCAAGGTTACGACCTGAGTGTATCTTTTTGAGAGGACACAATAACAGCTGCTGTTGCCAAACTATGAAATTCAGAAGAAGAAATCTTTCCCTTTCATTTTTTTCTTCCACCTGACTTTAAACACGCACTCCCAAATTGAAATTAATATGATGCCATCTCCATAGATCTAAACTTGAAGACAGAATAGTATTCACTGACCCATTCACCAGTTAAACTCATTGTGGCTGGGTGTGGTGGTGCCTGCCTCAGCACTTAGGAGGCTGAGGCAGGAGGATTGTTGTGAGTTTGAGGCCATCCTGGGCTATATAGATGAGTTCTGACCCATTTGAATTCTGTATAACAAGACCCTGTTTCAAAAACAATGTGTAGGGCCAGGGAGATGGCTTAGTAGAATAAATGCGTGCCTGGCAAGCACAAGGGCCTGAGTTCAATCCCTGGTTCTGCAAAAAAAAACCAAACAAACAAAAACAATGTGTATAGGTAATGCATTTATTTAGAAAATAAGTTTTGGGACTGGAGAAATAGCTCAGCTGTCTAAGCACCTGCCTGGAAAGTGCACAGACCCAGGTTCAATCCCCAGTACTGCATGTTATGCCAGCCCCAGAACCCCAGGTGCACTGTGCTGGCCCTGAAACTGAGTGTGATGGTGCGTGCCTGTCATCCCAGTGCTGGGGAGGCTGAGACAGGAGGACCACTACAAGTCTAAGCTGCATAGCAAGATTGTACCAAATAAATATTGGAAAGAAATTTTTACTCCTAAGCAAAATTGGCTATCGTTCTACCCCCAGAGACAGTTACTTTTGAGGTAAGGGGATTGAGACCAGGACCTTCACACGGACTACGTCTCTAGCCCCTTATTTATTCATTCATATACTTATTTATACACAGACTCTCACTAAGTTGTCCAGGCTAGGCTGAAGCTCTCAGTCTTCCTGCCTCAGCCTCCCAGAATGCTAGGATTACAGGCATGCACAACCACACCCAGCTACTATTCACATTTTATAGTACATCCTCCCCATTCTCTGCGTGGTGTGTGCATGTGTATGCACAGATTATGTAGAGAGAGATTTTGGTGGTATTTACAGAAGTGCCCTCCTGTAGCCCCAGCACTCTAGGAGGCCGAGGAAGGAAGATGCTGAATTCCAGCCCACCGTGGGCACTTAGCAGGACCTGTCTCAGAATTAAAGGGGGTGGGGCAAGGTATAGATAGCTAAGTGGAAAGGCTCTGGATTCAATTCCCAGTATCACAGAAGCACAAACCTGTATTATGGACAAAACTGCGTTATTCTGCTTTCTCCTCAGCTCCATCTAGAGCATGAGACTTTGTTATAATTATATATGTTTTCCATTTCATGTTAATGCTGTTCCATTATAGTACATTGGTTTACATGGGATCTTGTTTGTTCGTTTTTTTCCATTTCCATTTTTTAAAATTTTTATTTATTTATTTATTTATTTGTCCTGTCAGAGGTGAATATTCTATTGGCGTCTAAATACTATAAGTGTTTGAATTCAACTAAACGTCTAACACTGTCTAGCAGTCTATAATATTAGTGGGTTATCCTCAGAAGTTATTGACTTGAGCCTTTTACAGCTCATCGTATTAATATGGATTTACTTTATATACCTCATTTTTATACTTTTTTACTGGATGGTTAAGACCAAGATATAGCAAGACCTATATAGGCAGGATTGTAACTTTTGTATCTGATAAGGTCAGCCAAGTACTCTCAGGATTTATCCCATAGCCCTTTGTTTGGTTTTTGAGACATTTATACTGTGTTGCCCAGGTTGGTTGCAAAGTTGTGGGCTCCATAGCCCTCGACCTTGGATAGCTGGGCTGAGGACACAGCCCCACCCCAGCATGGCTTTCTGGGTCTAATGTCCTTAGGGTAAAAGAGTAAGGCCAAGAAGGTGGCCCTGGCCAAGCATGGTGGTCCCAGCAGGGGGCCAGACAAGGTAATCATATTATAAGCCATTCACCTCCAGACACCCACTTTTAGTGACATTTTTTGTGCTGATAAAAGCATAAGTGACTATCAGTAGCTGGCGGCTATCACTATTATGTACTCAGGGCGACTCTGGAGGTCTGTGTATGGGTACAGCCTGCGACCTCATGGTGACTCCCAGGTGAGGCAGGGTCTCAGTCACTACATTGTCCAGGCAGGGCTTGAACTTGCAATCCTCCTGCCTGTCTCAGCCTCCTGGAGTGCTGCGACTG